CCGCTTTGTTTTTATGCGTACTGTAATCGCGTGGAAGAATTTCGTAATTTTATAAAGCCAAATTCAAATTGCTCACGATTAAAAAATTGAAAATTTTAGCATCCTCTTAAATGCATTTCAACTGCCCAAGGTGGTAGATTAATCGCCATTGACAGAACGCGCGGGCCGATTCAAGTATAATAAGCGAGAGCCGCTCGAGTAAAAATGATTTATACCGGGCGCGATGTGTCAACGAGATAGCGACGACGTGGATTGAATTCAGATGAGGCTTCCCGCGCGGCTCTAAGAAATTATACCCACTGTCCTTCGTGGAATCTCGCTCGTGATGTTCCTAAATTAGCCCGATCGCCGATCTCGATCGCGTCATTATCGTAGTAAACTCGTCCGTAAAGACGGTTTAGCAGTATTTTGTAATTCATTACGACCGTTCACATTTTTTTCGGATCATCGCAAATACGCGGCAGAACTTTTGCCCACTCTTTACGACAGCGGTCGAAGTGCACAGTTTTATGAAGGAAGCGGCGAAGAGTTACACCGCGAAATACAGCGAACTCTTTGAGTTATTAATTCCGCTTTAGTTAATTAAATCTCCAACTACCTCAAGTTTACACGAACGATAATTTGATAACGCACTCCGCGACGTTGGCGCATTTATCTTCTCGCTGGTGCTCGAGTGGAGAAAAAAAACCATACAAATGCAAATGCACGCGGAGATATCAGTCGTGTCTTATAAAATGTGGGATACAGTGTACAAATAACGTGACGCGGCGTGCTTTGCAAATGCCAGGGCGGTCATTTCAGCCTGCGAGGTGAGCGAACATTCCGACGGCGCGAATTATGTTAAGACCCGGCCCGAACTCGCGTACGCGTGTCGTACCCGCACAGATAAATAATTGCACCCGAGAAATTGCAATTAGAGCCGATAATTCTAGCGGCCGTAATCGGGGGGGGGGGCGATTGCGTTAGCGTAAGAACGCTGTCATCGAAGAAAGACGTAGAGCGTGACAAGGGGCCTAAGGCGCCAAGTGCATTGGCCACACTCACGTCCCGCGGCGCATGGAATGTCGGATCAAAGCGGACGATTCGTGAGAGGGGGATAAGAGAGAGGGGGGAAGAAAAAAAAAACAGGTGGAGACCCAGACGCAGGGCGAAAAATAAACCGCCGCGAAATTGTGCGTGCACGCACGCGGGCGCTACCGGACACGCATCTCGATGGAGAGACCCATTAAGCGGTCCACCTCGTGCCATCCCTCGCCCCCGCGTGGTCCTGCTTCGCCGCGCGTTTCTCGCCAATTCTTTCTCGCGTCGCGTTACGCTCGTCGACGTGACGTAGCGATTGTCGGTGCGGGACGTAAGGCACGGCGAAGATCATCTTGGGCTGTGCAAACGCGAAGGTGCGCGTCGAGCGACGCCGTAGGAAATATCAGCCTGGGATCTTGGCCGATCCGCATCGAGAGTACACAGGATCTCTTGGGAGTACACGGTTCTTGTCGGCAATACGCGCCCGTTCTTGTTGCCTTGTTAATCCCTCACTCGTCCGGAGCGAATCTCCGCTTGTTCTTCTTGAAAGCGATTTCCGTTTTTACCGCGTCTTGCGCGCGATATAAGACGCAGGAAAAATTATCGTGCGAGAGATAGGGAACGTTTTTTCAGCTCGCCGTCTCGTTAGCGTCGCACTCCCTGACAAGAACAAATATGAATTATCGACCTCTCGTTATAATTGGATGTTTAACACTTGGAAAAGTTCATAATGTCGCGTATCTAAACTTTCATTTTCCCACCGCACTCCCGTTCTCCGCGAGAGTAGATTCAGATAAAGTTTTATCGTTCGCGGAAAGTTCGACCCTGGCTCTCCAGTGTGTTCTCGATTTTGTTACTTGTATCTACAGCTGGGTTCGCGCCTTTTTACTCTTAACATCGTTACCCAAGTTCGAGAGCTAAATAAACTTTTTACCATCATTCTCCTGCTTCCATTCTTACATCTTTTTTTTTTGGCCAGTGTAAATTCTATTCCCAGAAGCTTTCACGCTATTAATAGCTAGTCGATGAGATTTTCAACATGTAGGAGAGCTTTTAACTGGAATATTTAGAGTCTGACGAATATATTTTTAGAGTTTGGCTGTTATTTACTTTTACGTTTCCGTTAATATCAAATCAATTCTATTATCTTATGATAAACAGTTCTTTTAATTTGTTTAATTGAAGTAAATGCTATCATCAAGGTATCCAATTTATCTCTACCCCTCAACGCTATGAAATCGTGAAAATTTTCAAAATACAACTGGAAAGTTGTGTATAAGCGACTGTCATGACGTTCGGCGATTACCATGACATGAAATGTCACCCCATCCTTTCTCTTTCGCGCGAGTATTGCGGCAATTTACCAGTGATCCGTATTATGTCATGGTTGAGTAATTCGCGCGCTTTAGATGACGTAATCCTTGCGGTAGGTTAGCCCTGTGTCACGGGGTCACCGGGAAAAAAGGCTCCGCTGAGGTTGCGCCCCAAGAAAGCGGCCGCGATGCCGACGGGGATCGAGTAATCGTGGCTAGGCGTATACTTCCAGAAACCCTTGTTGTGAACTTGCAACAGCGGTGCAATGGATTTCCACGAATTATATTGTACTTCTAACGAACGTTGCGTCGGCTATTGTCGCTTAGATTGCGACATCGATTTTGTAAAAGACCCATTGCAGAAATACTCGCGCTAATTCGATTAAAGCGCGGTGTCTTTGTTAAATTTATCAACGGTGTATTGCAAAAGAATTTAAATTAATACTAGGATCATATCGACGGATTTAATAGATTTCCTGTTATATCAATTTTATATTACAATTGAATTTCCAATACTTTCAGAGAAAGCTAATGAAGAATTCGTATCCCCTAATTACTATGTCGTTTCCTTATTCTGTAAAGAATCAAGCATATAAATTTATTTCACTTCGATTATAAACGCAGTTGGAAAATTTGTGTTAAATTTAACAGACATCACATGTCCCAAACGGTCCACACAAATTTTCCAACTGTGAATACTCGTAATATCTTCGAAATTGATCGAGCAATTAGCTCTAAATGGCGTGATGCGTTGGTAGAGAGAGAGAGGAATGTATTTAATGGATGATTCTTAACTCCCTCGTTGCAATTCGTACTCAAGAGCAGCGTCAGTCAACAATTTATGGCTGGCGGTTGTTCCTCTAACAAGCTCCTCGATTTCCCGCTCGCGGAATTATAGTTCACGCGGGCGCCCGCAGATATCCCAACACAAGAAGAATTTATTCGCGGCCTCAGCTGTTAGCTTTACGCGAATGTTTCTCATTGCCATTCAAATCTACAACGTTTTAACAACGTTTTGCTTAAGTAATTATGTATTTAAAACTGAGTCGATTAATTTAAGAGACTACAGTCGAAATGAATTATTACAATTCTGCTCCACTTAATGGTGTAAGTGGAATAATATAAATTTGAACGACAGGATTGGAATTAAAATAGCGTGTACTCGGATCACAATTTGAAACGCATATTAAAATACTTTCTTGTCAATTGCTATTACTGATTGTTTCACTATATCTGAACGCATGTTTTCCTCTAGAAGGCCGTGAGACACCGCTGTCACCACCGCCTCCCTCGAGCTCTTCGGTTCAGACTTCACCTCGTGGCCTGGGTTATACCTGTGGTCCTATAGATGGATCCTTGTACGCCGTGGTGCATCAGAGCGCTGCAGGAGGCGCCCGCGGCTCGCCACTGACGGTTTCTATGGACAGTGGCATAAGTAGTGCACCACCACAGAGACCCAGCCCACCCGAACTCGAGCCGGAAAATCAGGCTCACGGAGACCTCGATAAACTTCTTCATGATATGATGCTTACTGTCGAGGTAAATAGAGTTTGGCAATTACGCACAACTCGGGTAATTGCATTTGACGTTATGCCGAGAAATTAAGAGAACCAATAAAAAGCGTCCGCTGTTTATACTACATAAAATTCCTCTACAGTCTATGCCAGATCCTCCGACAGATGACTACAATCGCGATCGAGGTGAGAAGATGTACATCCAAGAACGCAGCTACAGCAGTCACGGCAGCAGCCATCCAACGTCCACTTATTCCACTTTGAAGGACTCCTACAGAAGTTACAGAGCTGGCAAAGAATCGAGTCCGCCCTACAATTCAAGCAGCAGCTACAGCACCCTGAAGAACGAGTACAGGGACTCGTCGAAGAGCATCGAGCATCGTGACTTCGAGTATCGCATGTCTCCGGATCGGAAGATATCCGAATCCTCCAACGACTCCTACAGGAAGCACGCGGACTCCTTCTCGCCGCCTGGCAACATCGACTTCATCGACGAGGACATCCCGTATCACGCCAGGCAGACCAGCCAGCCATTCTCGTACGGCGCTACTACAGACATGATAAAGCATCAGAAATTGTCGTCGCCTTCGCTAGTGAGAAAGGCGACCGCGCGGGGTATCGCGCCTGTCGTGGACTTCGAGGACATCCTTGGCGAGAATTCGAGAAGACCCATCAGCCCCCTCAGTCCCAACACTCCGGATCCGCCGCCGGAATTCGCAAACGGGCCCGTGAAGAGTGGATCTGATCACATCGATGCGTAAGTAACTCTCATAAAATTTACTTACAAAGTTCTTTTCATAGAGTTAAAATTTTTTAAATAAGATTCGGGTTGATTTTCATAGTTAAGTTCCGCTTGAGAAGCCAGTATTGTTCACGTGTAATTATTTTATCTGTTGTGAATAGTTAAGAATGTATCATTTACGAATGAGTACTTGTTTTAAATGTAAAGATGTGTTATGTAAAACGAAGCTTTATTTATGAATCAACCCGACGCTAAAAATAACGAAAATGTGGATAGTGAGAGCGTTGAGATATTTTCGTTTTGCTATAAATTACATCTGAAATGATGCCGCGCTTACGAAGCTTCATTTTATTCTCCCTGCAAGATATCATTAAGTACTCGCTTTTACCACTCTCTTTCTCTTAACATTTCCAAGAGAAATCACTCTTTTCGCGTGTCGCGACACACGATACCTACTGGTTTCGCGCTGTCAACGACCGAAAACGGTTTCCTCGTGGCGGATAAACAGCGTTGCGAAAGTAGATATTGGACTAGGTTTCCGCGGACGTCGGGCAAGGGAATCGCGACGAAGAGATAGACCCGTGCCTCTCTGGCAGAGTTTCCAGACGACCGTCGGCAGTGCGATGTCGCAATGCATCGTCCGAATCGGGCGCCGCAAAAGAACCTCGCTCGCGGAGGGAACGCTTAAGAAAATGAGCGAGCAAGAGAAAGGGAGAGGGAGAAAGGGAGAGTAGAAAGAATCACGAGTTGGCCGTGGACAATTAATAAATTGCCGAGCCATACGTGCCTACGACACCGTACCTTTTGCCGCGTAAGGTAAATGCGGTCGTCATGAGTCATTGTTCCTAACGCGAATAGAGAGATTTAGCACCGTAAGTACATCCCTCTGTTAACGGTCGATAGCGTGAATCACGTGGGATCTCACGATGCGAATTGCGAAACCAATAAAGCTATTCGATGCGGGGGATTAATTTATAGTAAAAAAACAACAGCGAGTAAAAACAAGATTTCATATGGATTTAATGCCGTTTCGTTCCTCGGGCTATTACATTTTATTTACAATCTTTTTTAGCAAACTAGAAATTCTGGAAATAAAATATTTATTCTCGAGGAGTTTTAATAAACGAGTGAAAACAGATCACATAAAAAAACTTATTCTAACAAAAATAGATTGACGCGGAATCGTTCGGTCAAACCGATTAGTCGGTTAACAATCATCTCATTATTTGCAAAAGTTTTACAACAATTTATTTGTTTCCAATTTAAAGCCTAACAGTTATTTGCAAACGGTTATTGAATTTGCATTATACTTTTTCTGTGCGCACATGTGTGTGTGCTCATGTATTGCTCATGGAATAAGAAGAAATGAAGTTCAATAGGCATGCATAATAATGTTTCGAAAAAGACTCGTTTGTTACATCCCTCCGTCGTAAATGTAAAGGCGCTTCATAAATGTACAGTCATTACGCCATTCACCTCGAAGTCATCAATTTTTTCTACACCCCGAGACTTTCGCGGCCCGGCCTCGCGCATTTCGCGAATGAGATCCGGCGCGTGAATGGAGGAGAAAGTATGCGCGATCGCGTAAAATAAATCTCTTAATCCGGTTCGGCGCGATTAAAGTAACACGTACCGATTCACGTGATTTATTTCTTTTATTGCGATACCATTGAAATGCATTAAATTAAGAAGCCGAACGTTACTGTTGCACGAATTTTTTTCTCTTTGGACACGATTTTGCAATCTTCTATATGTCTGGGAAAATAGACTTTAATATATATTTTTAATTATTATTACATTAAAATGTTTTAGTTGATTAAAAATGACTTCGAAAGTGCGCGTATAATTTAACTTTCCTTCTTATGAATCTTTTCTTTTAACTCTTATCTTCAACACAGCAATATTGTGTATTTATTATACATTCACATCGAGTATTATTCAATTTCTACAAAAGCTCATATTTAAAAATCTTTAATTCTCTACCGTTTCTCTTTTTAATTATTCACCCGAAGGGAGTGTAAAGCTTTTATAAAAGATGAGTTATGTAGGGTTGACGATAGCTCGTCGGGTTCGTCGAACCAAATATCCGTACCGTAAAATTCGCGTCGTACTGCGCAGCACGGAACGCCGTGAAAATAAACGCGCGACTTCCCCTCGCGAGCGGAACGGTTTTGCGTTGCGCGCGAGTAACCGCGAGATTTCGTGCGGTTATTTACGAAGAGACGTTTCGACCTGGAGAGGAAACAGACGACGTTTACGATCGAGAGGATCAACGAACGTTCGGCAGGTCCGCTTTCTCACGAGTGGAAGAAACGTAACGTCTCAAGCGCGATGACATCGGTGAGATTCTCACTGTATCCGCTGTGACTTTTGTTCAAATAAAACGGGACGCGTAATTAATGTCGTTTGTTACTCAATGAACATATTTCAGAGCCCTTAGGGGTTGCGACATCGCGACCGTGTCGTCGGGGAAAAATATGATGGAACTTAAGACACCGAAGGACCGGTATTTCGGGATGCAGCGCGAACGCGTTCTCTGACATAATTATAAATATAGAACGGACGAGAGAGACGTGCTAAATCAGCCCTGTAAAACCATGAAAACATCTCATTCTGCCTCCACCACATTTGTCTTCATTTATTTTACCTACATTTGATATATCGGGCTGGTGCCGGGCTAATATCATAAATGCTTCCTGCTCGAAATAAAGTTATCTTTCGTCAACATGTTACATCATAATTAATATTACGCTAGTTTCTCCCATTTCTGCTATAATTCTTCTTCGTCCTCGTATAGAGGCTTAAAGCCTGTTTTATCCAGTTCGTTCTGGTACTTTGAGCATTCGGTTTCACTGTTTTTGGTGGGCTGCTTAAACTTTGCCGAAGGAAACCTCCAATCTGGAGGCTATACCCCCTAAAAGGGATGATATGTGTAGCAGGATACTCTCGGTGATTGCCATTTCCCTTCGGGGACTCCGAAAAAAACCGGCGGTGTTCGTGGACTCGAACTCGGATCTTTTCGTTCATTGGTTTACTAAGCGGCGCATATTTCTCTGCGCCACACTGGCCACATAATTCTCTACTGCTATAATTCTTTACTGCTAAATTAAGCAAATAACGTTAATATTGTAGAGATAACTTAACTCAAACTTATTCTCGTATTTGCAGGATTTTATTATTTTTATTATAGTTATTGTTTTTTTCCTGCAGTGTTACTGCCTTTCCTTTTTTACGTTATCGAGTACATTACACCGAAATGTCCCTTTTTATCTGCTCTCCCGACATAACTCCGGAAACAGCATGCGGAGAAACGACATTCGGAAGCAGTAGTCATTGGAAGAAGCGAGGGATATGAGCACAAAAGCCGCGCGTATAATTTTCTTCGCAGACTCGAGCGCGCATCGTCCTTTTTTGATGGCCGCGACTTTCATATCTCGTGGTTCAAACTTTTCTATTGCACACGGAAATCCTTCTCGTCCGCGTAAAAATGTCGCTGACGGACGTAACGTGTTAACAACGTTCTTCGCCAGACTTTTGCATATTCATGTACTTTTAGTGCAACTTTGCAAATTACTACGTTAGACAAAGCTGCGAGTGGCGGGAGCGGTAAGCGATAACCGGCAGGACAATGTAGAAAAAAGACTTATTTGCCATATCAGTTCTCGCACATCTGTTATTAGTGCGTAGCACGAAGAAATATATTTCTCTCTTATAAATAAAATAATTAAAACGCAACAGTTAAATAACGATATGGAGCAAACAATTCAGACATGGAAAGGATAAAATTATATGATAAACCTTGGTCTAATTCCTTCCAGTAAGCAACGAGACCCGCGCGTCTCGTAAATTAACGAGCTTCATTTTTTTTATTTTCTTGATAACGAAGAGCTCGGTTCAATTTAAAATTTGCCCACGGGGCGAATTTACACGCGTTGCGTCGTTGCGCAGATGAGATCTCGACGGGCATGCACGCGCAATTGCGTTTTATGGCACGCTTGATTTGCGTGCAAGCCGGTCATCTGTTACAATTACTATTGATAAGCGGCGGGCACGTACGCTGCGACCAATTCGCTATCAACAATTTAGGATTAACAATTTGGGTTACGCGCGTAGGATACTAAATGATAACACGATAAGATTCGATCAATAACGGTTTCTCACAGCCTGCAATTCAAAGTGGCGAATTACATCGAACGGATAAAAATGTAAAGTGAACTTGAAGCTAGACGCCGTAAACGCGCGCCGTGGAACGGTCGAAGCTGTATAAACAAACCAACGGAGATAGAACGCCGCTTGATATTCGTCATGAATAATAGAAAAGACGCAGTATTCCGTTTCGCTCCGCTTTAATAATACAACGTATCGAGTTTGGATTCGAAGAAACACAAGCCAATATTTCAATCAATGATACATTTAAAATAAACGCGGATATTCGCGAGAGATTCAGCGAAACGGTCAAGGTTGATTCCCCAAACTCTTTCATATTTCATGTTATTAAAGTCGCTCTCTGCATTTGTTACCCCAAGACACGAAGTTGTTGCACGTCTTTATACATGCAATTTTATGCATCGCGATGGATTATTTTTCTCACGGCAAAGCACACAAAGGAAAAACGGTTTTATGCGATTTCCCGGAGCTTCAAACTACTGAACAGCTTTGTAAAGCATCGAAATCTTTTAAACTAACAGTATGAATATATATGAATTGTTGCGAGTTCCTTTATGCTTGTTCAATAACTTTTGATATAAGAATGATAGGATTTTATGCTACATCGTTCGCCAACGGCGAACTCAAAGATCTGACACGATGAATTGTTGCGAGTTTCTTTATACTTTTTCAACAACTTTCGCTATAAGAATGATCGAATTTTATGTTGCATCGTTCGCCAACGGCGAATTGAAAGATCTAAGACGACGAACAGTTAAATTAATGCCCTTTTCATGCGACAAGTGTTCACTCGCGAGTCGCAGTTTACAACCCTCTCGGGGGGGTTGTGCGCGTTCGGGCGAGCATAAATTTCGTTATTGGAAAAAAGAAATCCAGAAATCCTCTGTGACTTACGCTGATTGGCCGCACAGGCCGTCGTTTATTATCTCGAAGAACGGTTGGATGTAACGCGTTCTACGGAGCCACGAGTCGATGGCCCAGGGCGACCTCATCGATCAGGGTGTAATTATCGACGTCTATCGCGGTAGGAGGTCCAGAATCCGGCGTAGTAGAATTCCGCGAGTCTATTCGCGAAGGTGCACCGTCGGGCCTTTGTTACCGGAGTTGCGGTCTCGCATTCCCTACGAAAGCAGCGTACCTTCTCACATTTTAATTTATACGCCGTGTATACTCGACAAGTCCCTATTGCGAGATATAAAAGCGAGAAACGTCGCAATTACTCGGCGTTGTTTACGCTAGAAAATGTATATTTTCATAACAATAATTAAGCTCTCAGTCGACCATAACTGGCAACATGTTTTTAACACGGACAATTTATTGCGAAAAATATTACCTCGGCCAGGGTTCGAACCTGGACCCTCCCTACACTCTAGGCGGGCGTCTCGCCAATTCGACCACTGAGGCGCGCGGTAATATTTGTCGCAATAAGCAGTACTCATGATGACATCTTCGCGTTTATTATTCAACTAGAACTGCGGCTATGGTCGATTGAAAGCTTAATTATTGTTAGTCATGTACTGGCGTCAAATAATTCTTGATGTTATATTTTCATTTAGTCAGTAATAAATGTCGGGCCGGAAAACTCGGTCTATCGATGATCGACAATTTCTAACGAGGGCAATTTCCTGGAGGGTTTTTTTTAAGCGGTTGTCTATATTTAATAAAATAATTCTAGTGTCTTATCTTTGCGTGACATACTTGACAGAAAGACATGAAAGAAATCGTGATAAGATAATTCCATTTCTTCTGTTATCGTTCAGTTTGTCGTGGCTGAGACAGCAGCAATTGAAACTCGCCGCCAGGAGAGATGAAAGGAGCCCCGGCAAGCTTTGGCGACAAGAGACCGGAAACCGTGTCATCGGCGAGCTCAGGAGCTTGCAGAGAGGGAGATTGAGACACGACGGTTACGCGAGCGATTCGGCAGTTCTCGACGATGATGACGATGGCTGGGGAGCAAGTTCTTTTTCTGGACAGGTAAGAGGTCATTAGAGGTTGTTGGGGAGAAGGGCCGGACGTTGGTTGGTTGAAAAAAATTTAACCCAAACTCAAAATTAAATTAAATGTTTTACGTAAATTTTTCACGACGAAGCAAAGATAAAGATAGCAAAATATTTAATACAACACATAGAGACTTTCTTTTGCGAAATTGTTAATCCTAGAATGCAAGTATGACATGGCAGGCATTGCAGAACCGTACACTGACAAAAAATATTTTTTAAACGAAGTAAATAGATTTACTTAAAAGAATTGTTTTATACTGGAATAAATAAAAATATCAAATTGCAAGTAAATCTGTGTATTATATTAAATAAATTAATTTAAATCATTACATTTTTTACATTCAAATAAAGATTTCATGGGATATAGAACACTCTTGAGTAATATTCATTAAATAAAATAATTGTTTTTGTTAAACATAAATCCAATTTTCTCCGCTGTGAAAATTACATCTTAGTAAACATTTGATAGAATTAAAATTAAAGTTTTTAATTTTAAATTATCTATTCTTTGCCATTTAATAAATAAGCTATTAGGAGCCACCTAATGAATAATTTTCTTGAGTAAGGTAATATTTTTTTATTAAGACATTTTTTATCCGTGTACTTAGTGAAAGATTAATGTTCACATTTTGGCCGTTTACTATTAAGCTTCTGTATTTGTGTAGCATCTAAAACTTTGCCTGTACAAACGCGATCTGTAACTTTCTCGCAACTTACTGATATAACAAGCCACCTATGATTTGGCAGGCAATATTTACTAAAGCGAAAGACAAATGGCGCATTCTGGGATTAACTTTGTTGACATTTACCATTTATCGATTAGCCGTCGTCGAGAGCTGTTCCGTACACCTCCGCACCAGCTAGTCCTCTACTTCCGCAGAGATCGAGCAGCCGGAAGTATAACGGCAATGCCGGAAACGGTGTCCTCGGCAGACCGCGAGCGGAGAGTATGAACGAGCGGCCGTTCGTATCTGTAAAGCGTGCTTACGAGTATCGCAAGTACAACGACAGTCAGGTGAGTACACGCGATGCCTTTAGGCGTGTTCCGCGCACCCCTTGCTCATTAGATCGCTGGAATTATGCGCGCCGTCGTTTCGAATGTTCAAAGTTGCACATTACGATTGCATATAAGGAACCGGCAAATAATTGTACTTAAGCAAATCGACATGACATGCCCCAGAAATTTCAATGAAACGTCCCATACGCAGATGCCTGATTTTATCTTAACGGTAGTTTGCGTTCAATTTGCCGTGAATTTGATATTTCTTGCCAATTATTACAAAACTAATTGACGAGTTGAATTGGCCGACGAGTGAGGATAATATCGGACAAAATAAGTAGCTATTCACGTGGAGTTCGGAACGGTGGTACGATCGACCTCGCTTTGCGCCAATAAGACGGCGGCGGCACGAACGCTACAATTTAGGCTCCATAGATAACAAGCTAGGGAAACTCCTCCAACAACGCTATACCTTATAGAAATACTGTATAGTGTAGACCCTAAATGGCTAGAAACTGCCCTCCTAAAGCGTAGACCGTAAGGCGATTACCTATCCGAGATAGAAATCCCCCTTAATCCTTTTTCGTGTTATACTTTCGATGCATTTGCGAGGGAAAAAAAAGCTAGAATTACGCAATAAAGCATTCGCTGCTGTACTGACTTAGCTATTTAGGTGCCATGTAATTTCGTTTCACGATTCATCATTTTGCACAGCGACGGACTGAACGGTTGCAACGCGCTTTTTTAATGAGTTAAGGAACGTGCAGATTCAGGTTTACGTTCCGAAACATTTCTTCCTCGACCAAGTTTACTCGAGAAATAGATCGGAAAACGCTCAAAATGGTTTCGGAGAAGAGGTCTTGGAACGTATCCCTGAGTCTAAATGCACGTTTCTAAATTCATTCAAAAAAAGTGTTGCATTTACGCAAGAAGTGTACAACGGAACTGTACAATGAAACACGTGTGTCGTGAATTGCAAATGAAATTATTTAGCTGTTATGTAATTTCGTTTCTTTCTTGGGTACGCGCATGCTTTCGCGATTTTAAACAAAACTGTTTGCGAAATACGGAGCTGTGTAGCATTATCGAAAGAATCGTTCTCCTTATCGTTATCGTTACGCGCGAACAATTCCCAGCTGACGCGGTAGCTGCGTCGCGGCTAGGCCGCGTTAGCTCGCGCCATTAATTAGCCCGCGCAATTAATTAACAACGATTTGGGCTTAAGGCCTCGCTAGCGCGGGTAATCGAGGGCGCATAGCACCGAAAGGATTAAACGCTCTTAGTTCGCCGGCATGTAGCATAGCGCTTGGCTTGCATTCCAGAGCCCTCCGACATCCCCTCGCTCAGCCTTAGCGGCCGCGCCACCCTTAGGGTTCGCGGCGAGCCAGCAATTGAGTTCCAGTAACGTCGAAAGACCGCAACAACATCAGCAACAGCCGCCGCGGCCGGAGTCGCGCAGCGACAGTTTCGTGCGCGCGGACGCATTGCTGCGCGAGCATCGCCACCATCAGTTGCAACCATCAGGTGTCATCAATAGCAACGACCATCCCGAGCGGAAGCAGGTGGCCGTCGGTCAAGAATACGCGGCGTCTGGGCGAAACGCGCGGTCCGACCCGAGGGGTCGCGTTGCTTATCAGAGCGTCGGGAGTTACAGCTCGGCCAGCAGCAACGACCAGGTGGACGGCGGATTGCTGGCGGTGGTCGATCAGCCTGACCCTCTCGTGAGCCTCATTCAGACTCTAGCCGAGATCTCGCCGGTTCGCGCGTCCCCGAGCATGACAAAAACCGAGGGCGAGCATCCGGCCGGCAGCAATGCGATAGCAGCCGCTGTAATATCCGCCAGTGTGCCTAGCAACAATGTCACTAATCGCTCCCCTAACCAGTCGCCAAAAGCATGGCAGAATTGCACCCAGGTTTGTCACCAGCCCCTCACGCAAGTCCCGCGCGTCCACGCGTAGTAATCACTTCATAACATGCACTTGCCATAGTTTTCTTCAAGCGTGTTGCCGATGCGTTAGTCGCTGATTAAAATTCAACATTAGTCTCGGTATTCCAAGCTTGTCCAGCACGCCTCGCTTGACTGGTAGCGCGTAGACCGACGTGGAAAGCGTCGATGTTGGTCGCTAATCGGTATCTCGTCACCTCGTTACGCCCCGTCGAGTCGCGCCTCCGAGTGTGTAATTAAAATAATGGTCGTTGAATTTCGCACAGCCGCACAATGACTCGGCGTCATCGTGGACCGAGAGGAGCGTCAGCCCCGGGAGCGTGGTTGTCAGCGGTGCCTCGCGACCGCAGACGCCGGCGTTTCCGGTCCATCCGCGGACGCCGTACGTCAATAATGCGTCGCCGACGGTGACGTTTGCCAGCGATCGTACCTACGTGACGTCCAACAACAGCTACAATGTCAGCAACAACAACAACAACGAGGCTGGCGGGAATAATAACAATAACATCGGGAACTACGGCGCCGAACGAACGATATATATCGAGGAACGAAGGGAAGCCTCGAAGGAGACGGGGCTTCCACCCAAGAGTCCGACAACACAGCGGTGAGTTTCGCTCTCCGTTCAAAATCTACTTTTCTATTTTGTACACGTAATCGCGTGAAATTGAAGAAATTGAAGATCTTCCAGGATTTTTTTCACGACACTGAAAAATTTCAGTCTAAAGCCTGTATCGGAGCTGCGATACCCGCTCGTTCGCAGTATATTGAACATTTTATAAATTTGATAAAACTATCTCATACCAAGCCGTGCGTAGAAGCTTTTCCCCCGAACACGATGGAAGATCGCAGAGCGACAGTAATGATGACGAAGAATGATATTCGTGATTCTAGACGCTTGAGTTTCCCGGCAAGCGGGCCGCTTAAACAAACGCATAACAAACGATGGCCGCTCACTAACCAATCGGCGTCGTTCGACTATAGGTAATATACATGAAGAATCGAGCGAGTGATCGTAATTGGACATGCAATTAACGGCTTTAGAATTAATCACAGCGATGGAGAACGTCGCGACCAAATGTGCACCATGAATGTTTTGTGTCGTGTTACTAATCGCGCGCGTTGACATGCCCGGAATGCATCCCACATCATATCGTAGATGATAAGTCGCTTCTTCACACGGCGTTACATAAATTGAAAACACTCCCACGTCGAATTGGTTTCCCTCGTGTCTCTTAATCTGAATAACGTTTGGTTTTACGTAACTTATGTAATTGGCCTGGTCTGCAATGAATTAGTCAGAACCCGGAACTATAAGTCGATCTTTTTTCTCTCTGGGTGAGAGAAAACGGACCGTCCGCCCTTCAGTTCCGACTTTCGACCAACAAATCACTGCAGGCTTCGTCCAGCATTACTGGGTACTTGCATCTTTCGTGTTTATCGTTGTTATAAATTATAAACGTTTAATTATACGTGGATTATTCAAGAACCATTGCTTTACATCCACGCGGTTGTGATAGGAAAGTTAGCATACACGATGGCATCATGATCATACATCGCGGCCACGTACGCCGGCCATATGTGTGTTGCACCCTCGAACTAACAAGAACCTCGCGCTTACTTGCATCGTGTGTCACAGAAACTTCTCGCAGAGCAAGTATGTTATATCGGCGAGATAAACTTTGTTATTGGAGAACCGAAGTAACATTTCCGGCTTTCTCACTGAGAATTCCTCGAGGAAAAAATTCCCTTCTATCCATCCCTCTCCTCCCCCCCGCTTCTCGCTAGAAACGTTCGCCCCGTTTAACTTAGGGGCACTTCTTCCGCCTCCAAATTTTTGTTTCCACAATGTGTATCACCCTTTTCCGGTATTTTCCACACCGATGTATAGCACTGTGCACGTGAGTCGACCGACATACATCTGCCTGCACGGAAATGTCGGTAAATTTTCGCGGAATATCTTCTAACATTGCGTTCGGTTGCTCCTTTTCCAGTAAGGACCGACCTGTTTCTCCTGTAAGCGAATCGACGATGCCGCAGGCTGTTTCGCGTAGCCCTGGTACACCGACCCACGTTGAATTTGCCCAAAGCCCCAAGGTAAGCATTACGATATTACGTTACGCGCTCATATTGTCATCGTTATTTCAATCCCATCGCGATGACAGAGTAACGGGAATACACTTAATGCTTTTGCGCTTTAATGGCACTAGACTTTCATTGAAATTTTTAATTTGAAACAATATGACTTTTGGCCGAACTTTTAATTGAACTTTTCTGTCGAGACATAATTCGGATACAGCGATTGAAATGGAACATTAGAAATTATACATACATCGGTAACTTTATGTTGGAGATAAGATTTTAATTATATGCAGAAAAGTATATCTTTATAATAATCAATTCCTATTCCGGCTCTTGCAGAGTGCTACGTCATACACGTCGATCAACAGCGGTGGCCAATCCTCGCCGCAAGTTCAATATTATAGCTCGAGACGTTCTAGCGTTCACTCCAACACCGAGCCCCAGGAGGTAGCCGATGCTAATGTAAAATTCGTACGCGATACCAGCAAAATCTGGTACAAACCCAATATATCGCGGGAGCAAGGTAATTGTTCAGTCTGAAATCTTGTCGAATGACGTTTCTATTTATTATCGTTAAACGTTATGAAACTTCTTCTAGCAATCTCGATGCTGAAGGATGCGACACCCGGCACATTCGTCGTGCGAGACAGCAACTCGTTCCCAGGCGCCTTCGGTCTGGCATTGAAAGTAGCTACGCCACCCCCTGGTGCGCCTAGCAGCCCACGAGACCCCTCGAGCGAGCTTGTTAGGCACTTTTTGATCGAACCAACGTCGCGCGGCGTCAGACTAAAGGGATGCGCGAACGAACCTGTCTTCAGCTCGCTGTCGGCATTGGTTTATCAGCACAGTTTGATGGCCATGGCATTACCTTGCCAACTGCTGCTACCCGAGCCGGAAGCAGCTGCCAGAGCTCTGGACTCCCCCGGTACCAATAGCACTCAGCAGCTTCTCGCTCAAGGAGCAGGTAATTAATACATTCTCGCGTTAATTGACACGAAAGACACGATAAAAAGAGGATCTCATACTTGAATTAAAGTTTAAAATTCTCAAACATTCCTATTTAAAGTAGATTCGATTAACTGCGTAAGAGGAACTGCAAATTTGATTATTACTAATGTATTTTCAAAGTTTTAAATATGCAGTAATTTTACTTATAAGTCTCTTTCGATTCATTGAAAAAGGGAAACGTTCTCTTCTAAGCGTTTGAAATATGTTTCTTTACAGCTTGCAACGTTTTATATCTCTTTACAATTGACACGGAGTCATTGACTGGGCCACAGGCCATCAAGAAAGCTATCACCAATCTATTCGAGCAAAAACCTTTGCCGGTGGCCACAATTGTTCACTTCAAAGTCTCCACGCAGGGCATTACTTTGACTGACAATGCGAGAAAGCTATTCTTCCGTCGACATTATCCCACAAATAACATAAGTTATTGCGGATTGGACACCGAAGAACGCACGTGGGAGTTCACCAGCGAAGATACCGGAAGATCACTTAGCGCTCAGTAAGTGTTTAAATTTATATACAATCCTTGTAAATTGAGAAACAATGTGTAACGTAGCATAAATCTGTGTGCTATATTATAATGTAATAATATATTTAAATGTTTTATGATCTGAATTGTAGCAGTGGAGAAATTTAATTTTATGAATTATTATATTTACCTTATAATCTTTTGTAAATTTGTGTGTGTGCAGAAAAGAAAACTGTAATTCTACATTCCAAGAGATGCGATAAATTATTTTAAATATGAAGAGAATTCGATTTTAATATTTTTTCATTACGTTAAATTAAATTAAATTCGCTTATCATTTCTCTTTCCAGTCGCTGCTTCGGCTTCGTGGCGAGAAAGCCCGCTCACAAGTCGGACAATCAGTGCCACGTGTTTGCCGAGCTGGAGCCAGAGCAGCCTGCCACGGCAATCGTAAATTTCGTGAACAAAGTCATGATGGGAAGCTCCATCGCCAAAGCCAACATTGTTTAAGAATTGCTACTCGCTCGCCACAATCGCCAAGACTAACGGGCACAAACATCATCGCGAATTTGTTGACGGTTTCGCCGTTTACGATTCATACTGACACATATCTGTAACGCAAAAAGAAAAATGCAAAGTCCAAATAAGAACGAAGAGACTGAGAAGTCTCGGGATAACGGGCCGAATGGTCGATATAATCGATTGATGAAATCGTTATTCCGCTGACACGCTGAGGACACACGCGCGGAGGATTCTTGTAAAGGATCCGCTGGAAATGGCTACGCGAATTAATCATTATCCATTAACCGACTACTCGTAATAAGTCTTCGTGCATTTCGTAGCGTCGAGTCAGTAGAACATTCATGTTGCAAACAGTAGGAACGACATAATTATCGATAATGCTGGGGAAAAAGTCGAGGAGCACTTTGGAAGAGAGGAACGAGGGGAACGAGAGGCGACACGTGAATCGATTCCATCCTCGCGTCAATATGCAGTCGAGATAAGAAAGTTGTTGTTATGATTATCGTTACTGTTGTGATTTAACGTAGCGAATAGCAAAGATATAACGGATGGTCAGGTAGGGTACGGTGGTAAAATGACTGCACTGGAAAAATTTTATATGTGTAATAAATTAATTTGATGTTATTTAAAAAATTATTATAAAATGATGACTATTCTGCGCTCTTATTAATAACAAGTATAATTACAATTCCGCGTGCACTTGCGATTTAGTGGTTATTCAAGCGTTTCAAGTCTCACACAGATGCGTCTCGGCGAAATATTTAAATATGGTTTCCGCTCTCTTCCCTTTCTTCGCGTAATTTAGTATATATTTTACAGGAGATTCTTTAGCAAACTTTCAAATTTCCTGATTTCGCCACCTGCCCCCACTTATAATACGATCGATCAGCCGCACGCAAACTTACCGATAGCTCGTAGTCATAGTTGAAGAGAATCAACCGTGCTCTTCGCGCGATCTACGAAGAGCACCGAGCATTCGAAACGAGCGTATCTCGCGCGTTCACTGAGTGCGCTTTCGATTTCGGAGAGCACCTATACATTGCACGTATAAATATGCATACATTTCCATATGCATAACATTACACACCACATACACGTAACTATCAACACTAATAATAACAAAATCTGTGCTCGCGCTTTAATAACAATTTTCACTACGTGATTTAGTCTTCAAAGAGCATCTTTTAATTCCGTTTTATTAAAAAGAACGATTTTATTATGGGATTAATAGTAAGATGAAAAATGATAGAAATTGCATAATTACAAAATAATAGGAATCTGTAATTATTACAGTTGAATTTTTCTATTTCTAATTTTTGAAGAAACACCCACGATACGACTTAAATAAGAAATGGATCCTTCAATAACGCGCGAGCATATATAAATTCATATATTATCACGTTATACTTGAGACTCTCGAGTAATGTTTGACAGAGAATGTTACGTCATTTGCAGAGTATATACATATACATAAACACGTACACGCATGAATAAAATCCCCGTGTCATGCTCCCTCGCGAGGTATGAAAGAATGACGATTATAAATAACTGTAAATACGCCACGAGACAGTGTCGCCTTAAAAGAAGGCCTCGAGGGGACACCTTGCGAGAGACCGTCGCGAGATGAATGACGACAGTCCGCGACTTGTGGAAGAAGCAATGCTGACAGGATCAGATCGAGAGTCACACAGGCCGGGATGAATAACGCTATTTGAGGAGTGTACACGTGACAAGGCAGTATCGCGCGTATTCTTTCGGTGAACCCATAGATTCTTGCCATTTCGGGCTCGTGTACCGTCGAGAGCTCGCTTCCGAGGAGCGCGTCTCGACGGGCGCGACGATGAGCAGTCAATTATTACGATCGAATCGATTATATTGTAATTACGACAATATGACGGCACGAAGGGACCGCCGGTGCCTGCAACGGCTGTGGCCCTCCCTTCGACGTCGTCGACTTCTTCGTTTACTTTCGCGGTCCCTTCTACTTTTGTCTTCCGAACGAAGGTCGGTCGAGGCTTCGGCGTTTCCACCGTTCTCTGCGAATTCCTCCGCGATCGAGAGAGGGAGGACCCGTAGTTACGCAATGTGCTAGTCAAAATTCGTACTGTATATTCGACGGTCAAGAAATAGGCGTTAACAGTAACCTGGGGAGGCCTTTTCGGGTATGCTTGGACCCTCAACGGCGGCGAGCGCGAGGTATATCGCTTCGCGCTACGACTCGACGTAGAGTGAGCGTAATGCGCTTCGTTTTGTGGATGATGGGCTCGAAACGACACCTCGAAACACATAGAGACGATTGGGTGCCGCTGAAAGGATTAAGGGCCCGCTTGAGAGAACCGACCGTGTCTTTTTTTTTTCTGCGTTCTTTCTTCTCTTCGTCGTCCGTCTGCCCTTTCTTCTCCGTCTAGATTTCCTTTCGTACGCGCCCGAACCCGACTAACAGCGTAACATTAATTTAACATTCAGTCATTATAATTATTATTAATATTATTATACTTGTTTACGCTCTATTATATTCTGTGTACGTTTGCGCAATAATTGTATCATTGCGTGCCGCATGGGTACGCGCGTATAGTTGTAACAATAATAAATCATATTCACAGCGCGTTTGGATTTGAATATATCCATTCCGTTATTTTAAGCTCCAATAGACATGTAATAGACGATTTACGTCAATTTTATAATAAGTTGTACTTGGTAAAAATTTAATCTCAACTTTTATCATACAATTAAAACTACGAGGGTTTTGTTAATTCTATTAGTCTCTTTTAACGATTTCACTTAGCTAGTCATGAAGTGATTCACAATGATTTATTATTTGTACATTTTTTATCAATTATCAACGTGTAAGGAACAGAAAAATTCCACGCAGAGAGAAATTAAGTTTCTAATGTAATAAATAACGTGCTTAATACCTCGGTGCCACGTGTGTTTAAATTTTTCAAAAAGGCCGTTTTAACTGTTGTAATTGCGTAAAGCCATTACGTAGAAAAGTGGACTTAATACATATAGTTACGGTTGTTTGAACACTGATATCGTGAAAACGTGTTTTGCTAACGGCAAACTTACTGACCTACTACGCATCTCCAGTCGTATCAAACAAATTCACCGGAATACGCTCGAAAGTTTCGTCTTATACTGTTCTATTACATTTCGTTAGGTTCTTAAAAAAAGACTCTCTTCTCCTTCTTTGCGTTAATAAGTTAAAAGATCGAAATTAAATGACATGATCTATGCAAACTTTAAATGAAATAAGAACAAAATTATTTTGAAATTACGAGATATTGGCTTTAAGCTTGAATGGCATTAAATTTGAATTAAGTTTGAAATTAATCTGAATTTGTAACATACATTATATATGCAAATCTTGTTATTTTATCTCTGTTATTTTATCAAATATCTATAAAGCTCGAAGTGCTTTCCCTTTTGAAAAACCAGTTAACTGACACCAAAATAATTTACAATACGTATATCAGTTACTGTTAGATTTCACTGCTACCATAAGCCGCGACGCTATCGGAATCTGCATCGAATGATTAGTCAAGCAGAATCTATTGAAATCACCGTAAGTCGACATCGATAAATGTGACCGACCTCTCTAACGTTTCGAATATCCCATCCATTAACCCCGAAGCCTCTGAACCGCTGCATGACTGAGGAACGAACGTCATCCAGCTCAGAAATGAAATCCCGTAATCCCAGCTCGTGGGGCAGAACAGTGAAACCGTCGTGTTTCACATACCCGTATGAACCAGCGACTGGTTCCGGCTGCGGGTTTGCCAGTCAACAAATAACCTTCGAGGCGATCGAGCATCCTGGCGCGATCGAAGCACGCCATGAATGTCGGCGTTGAATCGATCTTGTGCGTGATCCTCGGGGTTTCGGTGATCATGCCGCATCTGGCAAATAGTAATCCATATCGTGGTAATTACACGGCGACACGTCCACAATATGATTACACGCGGGAGAAGATATTCAGGGAGGAAAAAGCTCTGGATAAGGAAAGTGGGTTGGTGTCGTTAATAAATAATCAAAAATTAGACGGCTTAATAAAATAGTGAATTGAGTTATCTTTTAATATCTTAAGAAAACAATGCCGAAGATTAATAAGATTCTAGACAGGGATAACTGAAAAAGTCCAACTAATTAAGAAGTTAAATAAATTGACACTACGTCGTTCTTAAGTGATCAGTGCATTTTATTAAATGATTTTTGGGAGATGAATTCTATATATTAAACAAGTTTAATTTAATTCTTTTTATTTTACTTGAAAACTTTCTTTCCCTCTCTCTTTCTTTAAAACGCTTAAACTTTTTAAAAAAAGAAGAAGGAGAAAACTTGCATCGACATTGAGTAATTATATCATTTGTTGAGCTCCGCAAAATAGTGCAACAGATACTACAAATTGAAATTTAATTCTTACGTAAGAAAATTGAATTATTGTCGTTTTTCACATGTAATTGAATCACTGCGACTTCTATTCATTAAACCGTACATGTTGTTTTGATAAGTAACACTTAATTAACGCTCTTCCATTTGCTACTTTGTTTTACCCGTTCTAGTTTTCTTTTTAAGACAAAAACTTTTCTAAGAGAAAGTAGACCATACGCACGTTAATGAAAGAATGAAAAATAAGAGAATGTTATCAAAGAATGTGCTGCGTTGTTTCGTTGAAGTAATTAATCGTGAATATACAGTGCGCTTTTTACAATGCGGGAGCATGAGTGGCGCTCATGGTATGCAGAAAACACGTGACACGAACAAGATGCCGTTAAGCAGTTTTATAAATAAAACCACCTCGTACAATCAGAATATTTTACAACATTTGGAATTTGTAGTGGATTTTATAATCGGCAAAATAATTTGTTTTAAATTATGAAAGTTACGAAACTTTTTAAACTCTTCGCATTTCGTAGATTCATAAAGTGATGTTAATTTTTTTGTAATCTAAAGAATACTGCGAAATATTTTAAGACAATTGATATAAAAAAATATTAAAGCATATATTACATCATAAAGGTTACAAATAACAATCGACGTACAGTTTGCAGAATGCCCGTAGCGATCAAGAAATGCAACCGTGTTTGAATTCCAAAGACAGAGTAGAGGAAAAACGCGTATTCGCTGAAGCAAATAATCAGCTTGAAAACACACCCAGGGAGTTATCCTGGGATGATGATGATTACAGAGGTTTTTCTCTGTTTGGCCTCGTTGAATCCATGCTGTCCGTTGTAGCGAACGGACTCAGCACGGTCGTAAGCAGTATCGTTGGTACCGAGAAGAAGGATTCACGGTCACGTACCAGCAGAATAAATTATAGAAATTATCATTTAATCAGGGCATTTCCTACCACGGAGAATCAAGTTACGAATCTGCATGACTTGAGAGACGCCGAGCCTGAGGACATAAAATTTTGGTCCTTTCCGAATCCTAATAGGTTCGTGTCCGTGCTCTTATTAGGCTAATTAATTGCTTAATATATTTCTACATCTCTTCTTATAGAACGTCCGACATGATTGTGGCACCAGATCTCGTAAACGACGTCAAGGAATATTTGAGGGATAAGAAGATTGACTTCAAAGTATTAATATCGGATATTCAGGTAAAAACAAATATACATTTTATATCTCTAACGTGCATTAATATTAAATCGTTTAAAGCACTGAGCTTTTGTGAAACGTGCATGGAATTTAGAAATTAATTTTTGTGTTAATGGGAGTACCGTGTATAGATAATATCATTATTAATAATTGAAAGCGCTCATTGATATCTTGTGTTTGAATAACTGGTATCTCATTATCCGCAATAACATCGGAAGAAGAGAATTCTAGTGACAGCTGATGTCCATATCTAACGCTGACACGCTTTACTTATGGTCTTTTCAATATTTCTTACGACACAGAGATACAAGAGTAACATGAGAGTAGCGAATAAACCATCATTTATTATATTAAAATGCTGGATCAAAGGTTTTCGTTACTGCATTAATCGTTATTTATGCGTCCTATTGACTGACGGTCGCTATCTTAGAAATGGAAAGAGAAATCCCGCTGGTTGTCCGTGTGATTAATTGATATAATTAAAATGTGACTGTGAATTGTGTGTAGTCGGTAAAAGCCAAGGAAATACTTTCTTTGATTAACAGAAAACGATCTCTTACCAAAATCCGAAGATGTCCAAAGAACAGCGTGAGGACTTGGTCACCACTCAAGGCCACACAATGACATGGAAACGTTATCACCGATACGGAGGTAAAATCGTCTTGTAAGATATTTTCGTACGTCGTACTAAATTCTTTTAATCAATACACGTTTAACATTGATTGAAAGTGTAATTAAATGTTACATTGTACTAATTTAATAACATTTAATATTTTATACTAATTTAATGTGTGTGAATAATTTTGTTGTATATAAAAATATCAACTGAGGTTTATTTGACACAAATGAATAAGAAAATTTAATAGGTACATTTAATTCAGTAAACTTGTCTTCCTCTTTCGCAGATATCGTACGGTATTTAGAGTATCTAGCCTTTAGATATCCCAAACTGGTAGAGTTAATAACTATTGGACATAGCTACGAAGGTCAGCCGATAAAAATGGCAAAGGTTTCGGCAGGATTAAACAAAGAAGGCGAAAGGAAGCCTGCTATTTGGATCGATGCCGGTGAGCTCTTTTTATAGAATAGTTATTTTGTAAAATAATTATTTTCTATACAGAAAGTTTAAGTCGAAAATAGATAAAAAGTAATTGTGAGCAAATAACAACTTTCATTATAACATTGTTAACATTATGAAATTAAAAAACCGTTTCTTCTCTGCGATTGTTCTTATTAGCATCGTGAAAACTTGAATTATGCATAACCTGTTGCCAAAATTATGAGCCAGCCCGTTATCATCAGGAACGTCGAACTCACATGCTTCCCACGTTTTATACACACATCTCGTACCGTTACGTTATCTTTTCGGTAAACTGTCATCGTCTTCGCAGGCATGCATGGACGAGAATGGATTGGTACCGCAGTGGCGACCTACATACTGAGTCAACTGGTTGAGAAAAACTCGAGCTACACGAAATTGCTGGAGCATTCGGATTGGATGATTCTGCCGGTTGTCAATCCCGACGGTTATGAGTATAGCCATGTAGGCGACCGTTTTTGGCGAAAGACTAGAAGCAACCACGTGGAAAGTCAAAACGATAGTAGGTGAGGATAGGAAAAGTCCATCGCCACCTCGACGCCGCGATTGTCAATTAATCTTGTTTGATCTTATTATACGTAATTGTTGGTAGCAATGTACGTTGAAAGAAGTGTTAAAGATTAGATTGCCGAACGATGAGATTTTAGATTTTAAGATAAAAAAAAGTACGAGTTGTCCAGACTGAAAAACATTGTTATAATGCCGATTACATAATCAACATCATACGATATAATTTTGAGAGCCTCTCGTGTTGCTGAACTTAAACAACGCGTGATCCTTTCTAGGTACACGCCCTCCAATTTATTACAGTTCGTAACACACTATACCAGGTGGTTGTGGACTACATGCGAGGGAGTCGATCCGAATCGAAATTTTGCGTACCACTGGGGCGAAGAGAAGGGAGGAGGTGCTAGTTCAGATCCTTGCCACGAAATATACTCCGGGCCTTATGCTTTTTCTGAGCCCGAAACGAAGGCCATGGCGGATTATATTTTGGCGAACAAACAACATATTCGGTACACTAATTATCAAGTTAACGTTTAGTTAATTTCATTTTTTAACATGTTTCACTTTATCTTCTCAATGCTGTAGAAATTTTGTTGAAATGTTTCTCACAATACTTAAACGTTAAGTTACTTCTATACTACTAAATTTATGTATAGTTTCTTCAAATTGCCAGTACTAATAATAAAATTTATGTTTGCAGAATGTACCTGACATTGCACTCTTATTCTCAAATGTGGCTGGTACCATGGGGTCACACACGTTCGAAGCCGTCGGATTACTCCGATTTGGTGAACGTAGCGAGAAAAGCGATCAACGCGATCGTGAAAGTTCACGGCACTAATTATCAACTTGGGCCGGCAGCAGAACTAATGTATCCGACTTCTGGTACGAATGTAGTGATACTTATTTTAATACATATTTAAAATGTATTCATACGAAAGATTTAACGTGTTGATTTACGGCTATTACGAAAACTTGATATCAAGATAAGACACTTCGCAATGTGTCACGTCAAGGTAAAAGATTTTGTTTTCTGTTTGCAGGAGCGTCTGATGACTGGGCTAAAGGCGTTGCCTCGATAAAGTATGCATACACTGTGGAACTACGTGATCGCGGAACATATGGATTCTTATTACCAGCTACTCAGATAGTTCCGACCGCGCGCGAGATTTGGGCAGGAATCCGGGCAATAGCTCGCTTAGTTACCTGCAACACGTGAGAGCCGCATTCCGCGTTTCTGATGCGCACTTGGCGTTCGTACGTTGTTCATTTCTTCATCCAGATAATGGAAACTGGATCAATGCCCTTTGTGAATCATACAAGTGCGGGATTGTACCGTCATTTTTACGCAATAGACATCGATGAACAGGGTACATAGGGCATTCGTGATGAAAACTCGACACTCGTTTTGTTATCGAAATAAGTTAAATGAGCTACAAGAGATGCTATCGAAAGATAAATTAACGCTTAATTGAAAATTTAATTGGAAAACAAAGAGTGCATTATCTGTTATGACATAACCGTTAATTTAAGTTACAAACAAATTACACGAGATACTACAATAGATTTTAAGTTTCTCTAAGTTCTAGCTCTGAATTTTATTTTTAGAAAATTGCTTTACATAGTTTAATTAAACGAAAGTTTGTATTTTAAGAACTTCAATATGTTTTGATTAAATTGTCAGATCTGTAGCTATCTTAGATATGTTTATTTTTGTACATTTTCCTTTGTAAATTTCTTTGTGAGGTATGTTTCCGTGTACACAGAATTATATTTGTGAAGAGAGAATGTGTGATATACAATGTAATTAAATTATTTATTATTCATTTTATTAACACTGAATTCTTTTGTACAAATAACTAATTCTCTATTCTAGTTCTATTTTAATTATTAAAATTGTACATTAGGCTATTTAGTTCGATTTTCATTATTTTAATTTCAATATATTATAAAATATATACAAAATATGATAAATAAAAGCGTTGATATTATATGATATAAAGATGAATTTCTAGTGTGAAGTGATTGCATGATAAAATCGACTAACATAAATTTGTTTTATCAAAAAGATGCCTCTTCTTTAAGGGACAAATTAATGTTAAAGAAAATAGTCAATGCATGCTTATCTATGCGTTCAAGAAGACATTTCGTTATCAAGGTTAATCCAAAATACACGCATACCTTATCGCGAGATACTGCTCCTTATTTCACAGTATATAAACCGTAAGATCTTGTTCAGTGCTTAGGTTCCATTGAGCTAACATACCAACAATGTTGATTCAGTACCTTTTAGCAACTGCTTTGGTATTCCAGGGTAAGCGAACATATTTACATTTTATCTTATATACCTATATGTGTGTACGTATACTGTAAGATTTTTATAATTCGTTTTATAATAATAAAATTTGTACATTTTATATTTTTAAATATAATGACAAGCAACAACGCGCAGATTGATGTTGGTCTGAAAGAAAAAAAATTTCTCCCCGAATTTTTAAATATATGTATCAGCTATTTCTGAAATATATTTAATAAGTAAAACTATATTCATGAAAAGTTTTCTAATAATTATACAAGCACATAGTGATATTCTATATTCATATAGTATATTTTTAAACAAAAGATTTATTTCAGTAATAGTGTCATATTCTAAAAAGTAAAAATGACGTCAAACACATTATGCATATTGAAATGAAATGTATTACAAAAGTATCATTGTAATTCTAAGAGAATTCTAAGAGAATATTATAATTCTATTATATATTATAATTCTAAGAGAATTACAATGATACTATTGTAATACATTTTATTTCAATATGCATAATGTGTTTGATGTCATTTTTACTTTTTAGAATATGACATATTACAATATTAAATATTAAATATGAATATTACAATAGTATCTATTGTAATATTCATGTGTGTGTCAATATTCAAATGTGTTTGACGTCATTTTTACTTTTTAGAATATGACACTATTACTGAAATAAATCTTTTGTTTAAAAATATACATGAATCTATGTACTGAAAGCTTACTTAATCGTTTTTATAGCGTGTCTGGCCGTGCCGTTCGGCCTGAAACCCAGGATCACCGATGGAGAGGATGCCAGACCGGGTGAATTCCCTTATCAGGTCTCTATTCGATGGGGTGTCCCACCCTATGTACCTTTTAATCATGCATGCGGTGGTTCCATTATAAACAAGAATTTCATCTTGACTGCTGGACATTGCATCATGAAAATTGGTCAACTTCAAGTCCACGCTGGCAAACATTATCTTAATAAAGATGAACCTTCTCAGCAAGTAATTGACGTCGCTGAGGCCTACGTCCACGAAAAATACCCAGGGTATGTCTATTATTTCTATTTGCACTTAAAAATAACTAATTCAGACGTTGGAACTGTAATTAACTATTGTTTCCTCTTAATGTATTTCTATATAAATTATTTTGCTAAACAAACTTACAGTTAAATAAGAGAATAAAATTAGTACTTTTGGTATTTATTTTGATAAAGATATTTTAAAAAATTTTGTATGACGCTTTTTTATAAACAAAGCGATGACACATTATTTAAAATGTTATTCATTTATTTATGCTGTAAAACTATGAATCTAACAATAAGACGTTGTAATTTATTTGAAAATAATTTCACAATACAGCAGATATGCATAGATATAATTTTTTTAAAGAATTTGAAAAACTTCTTTACTTATCACACACAATCGTTTCGTAATCTGCAATCTATGTCACGTTACAATCTCATCACTCTGCTTGATAAGTCCTTTGGAATCGGCGTTTTTTCCACTGATAATGTATCTAACGTATCTAACAAAACGTGATTATTTTGGAATCGTATTACTCTTTTTTTTAGAGGTGTTGCTCCATACGACATCGCTCTTCTAAAACTGAAAACTCCTCTCGTTTTTAACGAGAGAGTATCCGCTGTTAATTTACCGGACGACTTTGAAGAACGAAGTGGAAAAGCTGTACTCAGTGGATGGGGCTCCATTTCCAAGAAACTGCTTCCAGTAATGCCCACGGTTCTCCAAAAAGTTACCGTTCCTTTATTGGACCATAAATCTTGTCAAGAGAAATTCCCGAAAGGTCCCGAAACACCAAAAGTCTATGATTCTATGATCTGCACTGACGCTATCGGGGAAATATCCGCTTGTTCCGTAAGTCGAATTTACACTTTCTATATCTTCTTTTTGCAATTAATCTCTAACATATTGTATATAATATATATTATATTTTTAAATTTGTTAGTGTTGTATTAGAAAATTAGACGCAGACATGTTTTCTTTACGCAATATCTCTACTAATAGAATCTTTTATTTTTCTTCAAGGGTGATTCTGGCGGTCCATTGGTGCAATTTGACAATAACGGTCCCACCCAAGTCGGTATCGTTTCATGGGGAGTCTACCCATGCGGTGTAAATCGCATGCCTTCAGTCTACACTCGCGTAGCTTCCTATACCATGTGGATTAAGCTAACAATTTGGATTAATGAATAATATTAATATAAGATATTATTAATATAAAATTATATAGCTTCCGCAATTTTTTTACCGATTAATGTACTTTTATTAATTAATGCACTGTATTAATATTGTACTTCAGGATGTGCTTCTATTGACATTTGATTAAAATATTAAAATTTTTTATTTGTAAAATTGGAAATAGGTTGTTACTAACTAAAATTAATAAATATTCAGAATAAAAATGTTACATTTTACATAATTCTAAAGGAACTTTTAAAAATAAACAAATTATATGATACTACAGTTTGTAGATTTTTAAAAATCCTATATAATATAAAAAAGGGGACACAAAAAAATGCATAGCAACTTTAACCTTCTGTCTATAAATTTAGTAGTTCTGAGTGGAGTTCTAGGCAGTTCTTGACGAGTTCTAACAAAAAGTCTTATGGCGCACAGAGCTTAAGTGACTCCATTCAGAGATCCTCTATGAGGAAGCCATAACAATGGAAGCAATGTGCAAATTTCTAATTAGAAAAAAAGTAAAGTAATACTTGAATACTTTCAAGAAACATCG